TGTCTCCAAAGATGTCCTCATGTCTCCAAGGAGGTCCTCATGTCCCCAATGTCCCCCCCAGAGTTCGAGGCGGCGCGGAAACGGGCCAAGAAGGCCAAGCAGGCCTTTGAGCAGATGAAGAAGGAGAGGTTCGACCGCTTCAACGCCTGCTTCGAGTCGGTGGCCACCAACATCGACGAGATCTACAAGGCCCTCTCCCGCAACAGCAGCGCCCAGGTAACCTCGCACAAGCCTTGCCCCGGTGACCCCTGGGCTCACATCAGGCCTTGTGTGAGGCCTTGCACACTCACAGGGGGCTTTGCACACTCATCCCAGCTTCACAGGGGGCTTTGCTGGCCACCTCTGGGCTTTGATGGCCACCTAAGCCTTGCCCCGGTGACCCCTGGGCTCACATCAGGCCTTGTGTGAGGCCTTGCACACTCACAGGGGGCTTTGCACACTCATCCCAGCTTCACAGGGGGCTTGGATGGCCACCTCTGGGCTTGGATGGCCACCCCTAAGCTTGGATGGCCACCTAAGCCTTGCCCTGGTGACTCCTGGCCTCACATCAGGCCTTGCGTGAGGCCTTGCACGCTCACAGGGGGCTTTGCACGCTCATCCCAGCTTCACAGGGGGCTTGGGTGGCCACCTCTGGGCTTGGGTGGCCACCTCTGGGCTTGGATGACCACCTAAGCCTTGCCCTGATGACCCCTGGGCTCACATCAGGCCTTGTGCAAGGCCTTGCACGCTCACAGGGGGCTTTGCACACTCATCCCAGCTTCTCAGGGGCCTTTGGATGGCCACCTCTGGGCTTTGATGACCACCTCTGGGCTTTGATGACCACTCCTAGGCTTTCATGGCCACCTAAGCCTTGCCCTGGTGACCCCTGGGCTCACATCAGGTCTTGCACGGTGCTTTGCACGCTCACAGGGGGCTTTGCACGCTCATCCCAGCTTCACAGGGGGCTTTGGATGGCCACCCTTGGGCTTGGTTGGCCACCTCTGGGCTTGGATGACCACCCCTAGGCTTGGATGGCCACCTACGCCTTGCCCTGGTGACCCCTGGCCTCACATCAGGCCTTGCACGAGGCCTTGCACGCTCACAGGGGGCTTTGCACACTTGTCCCAGCTCCATAGGGGTCTTTGCATGGTCACCCCTCCCCTGCTCTTCCCTCCTTCTTCTTCCTTCCCCCTTCCCTCACCCCAAAACCCCCTCCCTCCTCTTCCTCCCCCCGTTGTTGGGACACGGGGACCCCGTGGGTCCCCCCCCGTGTCCCCAACGTCCCTTTTTGTCCCTTTTTGTCCCCAATGTCCCCCCCAGGCCTTCCTAGGCCCCGAAAACCCCAAGGAGCCCTACCTGGATGGCATCCCCCCCTACTTCTCTCCCCTCCCTCCTCTTCCTCCCCCCTCCTTGGGACACAGGGACCCCGTGGGTGTCCCCCCGTGTCCCCAACGTCCCTTTTTGTCCCTTTTTGTCCCCAATGTCCCCCCCCAGGCCTTCCTGGGCCCCGAAAACCCCGAGGAGCCCTACCTGGATGGCATCAACTACAACTGCGTGGCCCCCGGCAAGCGATTCCGCCCCATGGACAACCTCTCGGGGGGAGAAAAAACAGTGGCTGCCCTCGCCCTCCTCTTCGCCATCCACAGGTAAAGCCCCCCCCTTTCGTTTTTTTGGGGTCTCCCCACCCCTTTTTTGGGGGGGTCCGGACCTTTTTCACCCTCTTTTTGGGGTGTTTCCTCCCCACTTTAGTTACAAGCCGGCTCCCTTCTTCGTGCTGGATGAGATCGACGCGGCGCTGGACAACACCAACATTGGGAAGGTGGGGGGTTTTGGGGGGGCCCCCCAATATTTTGACGTGTTTCCCCCCCCCCCCCCCCCCCCAGTGGTTTTTTGGGGGGTTCTCCGGGGATTTTAAGGGATTTCTTTGGGATTTCAGGGGATTTGGGGCCCCTCCGCTGAGATTTAGGGTCCCTCCAGGGTATTTTGGGGTCCTCCCTCAGGGATTTGGGGTCCTCCCTCAGGGATTTGGGGTCCCCCTGGGGATTTGGACTCACCCCCCAGGGTTTTGGGGACCCCCTCGGGGATCCTGAAGGGTTTCCCTGGGGTTTTTGGGGTCCTCCCCAGGGATTTTGGGGTCCCCCCAAGGATTTTAGAGGAATTTGGTGCCCTGGGGAGGGGAATTGGGCCTCCCTAGCCTATTTATTGCCTCCCCTGCCTATTTTTGGGGTCCCTTACCCTATTTTTGGGGTCCCTACCCTATTTTCGGGGTCCTCCACCCCACTTGGGGGTCCCCCTTCACATTTGGGGGGGACTTTAGGAGTGCCCAGCCTCCCCCAGCCCCATTTTTCCCCTCAATGGGCTGGTTTAGGTGCCCCAAAATGGCGGTTTTATTGCCCTACACCCTATTTTTTGCTCTCCCCCCCCATTTTTCTCCCCCCTCACCTCATTTTTGGGGCCCCCCCCGCCGTTTTGGGGGTCCCCTGACCTGTTTTGTTTTTGGGGGGGACACACCCCTACAGGTGGCTAATTACATCAAGGAGCAATCAGCTGCCAACTTCCAGGCCATCGTCATCTCCCTCAAGGAGGAGTTTTACACCAAAGCCCAGAGTCTCATCGGTGTCTACCCCGAGGTGGGTCAAATACCCCCCCTGGGGGGGCCAAAATACCCCTGGGGGGGGCCAAAATACCCCTGGGGGGGCAATTAGCCCCTTGGGG